TTATTGTATACTCGTGAATTCCGTATTTCAATTTCTCGGGCGAGAGCCAAGTATTTATAAGTTGGAAAACTCATTCCAATGTTGTTGAACTACTATCTCTATATCGTATCCGGTAATATATTAAACGCTCTATCGTTCTGTCTGGGTACCTTTAATATATCAGTGTATTTATTCATGTATACCTCTATAGTAGAATGTTCTTTGAAACGCCAAAACTACGACGTCAGTATCTAATACAAAGCAAAGCCCAGATCCTGCTACAGCGCCCTTTGTTGTTTCTGCCCTTTGCTGTTGTATAGCCACTTTTCCAGCCATGGTAGACCACCCACCTCGCGTCGTTTGCATGTGCCTGTCATGTCACTCACTTCTGACACTACGTTTCAGACACTGCCGACGACGCCTGGTACTTCTGCAATCTGGCGACAATCTGTGCTTTGGAGCCCCCAATTCGCAATCCCAAACGCTTGCACATCGCCTTTAGATCATCTCTGGCCGTGGTGTACAAGTCCCCTTCCTCAATCAACTGCATCACACCCCTCTCCACCTCTGAAGTGACTGTGGTCGGTTTGGGCTCCGCTCGGGTACGCTGAAAGTGTCTCGCGCGCATGCGTTCAGCAAACGGGCGCTCGGTGCCGGCCTCTTCTCTGATCCGGCTGATAAGCACTGACTTGCGTCCAGTGGTTACCAGGCCCAACCGCTTCAGCACTTGCTTGATGAGACTAACAGGGTCCTGCAGGATGGCATCGGACCGCGCATACTCGCGCCAACTGGGGAAGTTCGGGATCAAATCCAGGATAGGCGGTGTGGTGACTGAGACATCTGAGTCACTCTCTGAGGCCTCGGCCTTGGCTTCACCAGTGGCTGCTGGAGGGGAGGCGTTGTCGAACAACGGAATTTTGCCGAGTGGAAACTCGGGTTGTTGGGAGGAGATTGGGTATACATCGGTGTTGTCTATCAACCATCGCAGATTGTGGGTCAGCTGAGGCAGTGGCAGTGGATGGGTGTTCTGTGACGGACTTTGTGCCCGTTTAACTTCAGGGCGGGCGTGCACTGTACTCGTGTTGCTGGTACAACAGACGCTTGGTAGTGGTGAGGTTGTATTCAGTGGCCTATGCAGATCGTCGCGACGCTTCAGATTCTGCTGATGCAGCTGCCACAGCTTCGTGGCTACAATGGGTTCGGAGGGTTGTCCCAGTTGCAGCAAACCGGTACAAAACGGTGCTCTTGTGCTGTCCTGCACGTAGTCCCCTTTCTCGTGTATCTGTGGTGGTATCAGTCCGTGCAGTTGTTGATTGGGCATGTTACTGCCTCCGTACGTATGGGTCCAATTCACTGTATTAGCACTGTCTACGTAGGTGTGACCTGCCATTCCTGAATGGCCTGTACGACAACAGGCGTTGGCTTGACAATACAAATGAGCTTTTGGATTGCCCAACGTATTCGCAATAGCCGGCCTTTGGTTCGGTATAGTATTGTGTGTGTGCGTACCACGGGGAGCGGTACACTGTAGAGCGCTGTTAGTATTCGTATCAACACCTTCAGGAGGACCACTCGAGCGGGTTTTAGGGTATGCGCCCGTCGTGATTGACCCAGAATTGTCCCCAATTGTACCGGAATTGTCATCACCAGAATTGTCCCCAATTGTACCGGAATTGTCCCCAATTATAGTTGTTTCGCCAGTCCCCCAGGGCTCACCAGCCCTACTCATACTGCGCATGGTACCCGCTGATATTCTAGGGCTGCCGTGTACACCACTATGAACAGTTCGCGTCTGTTCGCTGGTGGATCTGCTCTCCGAGCGACAGTCTGGTGTTGCTTCCGGTGCTTCAGGTGCTGCCCCTGCAGTCTGTTGGCATATATATCGGCTTGAACAGCGGGGTTGAAGGCCACTTGTACCCTGCGCAAGACAATGGGCGGAATTATTTCCATCTGCGACGAGCCCTTGATCAAAAGCGTCTCTGTCATTTTTGTCACGGATCTCAGCGATCACACCTGATGTTACTCGCATCGATGGTGGGCAACTTTCAATAGACCGTTCAATATCATCGGGATTGCTCTTAAGCACTGATGTGTTCAGTACAGAATTACTCGGATAGTCTGGTGGAGCCTGCAGGGCCGGTGCATTAGCTGGATTTTGCGGCATTTTTTCTGCTGAGATCTCGAGTTCCATATAAATCAGGCCGGGCGATATACTGTGGAGGTCTCCATCATTTTGCAAATGGGGTGTAACGTCTGTATGTGTGCTCGAGCTCATGTCAAGCTCACGGGCCAGTGAAGACAGTTCGTGACCGTTCTCGCTATCCGCATACTTCGCCACAGCTGTGGTTTTATCTATGCATGGTCGCTTCACACTTCTGTCAGATCTGACCTCTGTAAACTCTATCTTGGGTTTGATGCTAGTGTCGTTCGCTACAACGGGATGCTCAGAAGCATCAGCACCTGGATCTTTTTCACTATTTGATACTGCCCATTCGTCCCCTTTTAAACTCGTAGGATTGGACAGAGCCCAATCACGAAGAGTCTGTTGCGCGTCTGGTGGCAGCTCAGCAAAGCCAGTGATATCAAGCAACTCTTCCCCGGTACACCTGATGTGCTGGTAGCAGCTGTAGCGTTGCTGTTGTGAGTCTTCTTCGCTACATAGCATTGGCTCGAAATCTTCGATACTACGGGAACATGACGAACACAGAATGCTATGTTCAGTTATGCGCAAATATGACAATACCATATTCCACTACCTATCCTATTAATCGCGGTATCAATGTAAATCCTTAAGTTACTATGCGTATCCTCTACGTTCATATCTCGGGAATGCAGCGAACAAAAGTCGCGCGAAGATATCAAATTCGTCGTTTCAAAAGAATGCTCAATTATATAGCAACCGCAGGCGGCCAAGAACAGTAATGGCCCGTGTACACAACTTTCGTCAGCAGTTTCGCGATGACCAAAAATAGCGCCTTGTCGACCAGCTCCAATATGAGTCTGACGAGGATCCGAATTTTGATACGCATAGATCTTAGTCGCAGTTTCGTTGGTTTCAAGGTGATGATCGTTTCGTATCATGAACCCAAATCGTAAAATAAATATGCTCACGATATATTACGTTAGGCGTAAATTTTTATCTTATCGATTACATGTCACCGTGACATGATCCGACAAACATAAAAGCAAATATCTCGTGCTCGGAGCTGTTTTTCAGGTTGTCGCGTGTTCACTTCAAATCACATTCTATGTTTCTGTTGCGACGTGCACGGTTGGTGGCAAGTCTGAAGTCATAAAGACAACAACCAACGCTCACCATATACAGCGTAGAAATGACCATTTATTGCAACTAATGGCAAAGCTATCGCCAGTTGCTGCAGCTATAGTGTAGAATTGCTAACGAAAATCTATCATATACTAGTTCAGCGGTGTTTGGATTGTGACTTAATATTATGACCCCTGAATATCACTTATTTGAAATATGTGCCACAGTATGAACGCTGAAGAAAAAAAAATCCGGTCCCCACCAATTGTGGACTAAGAAATGACATCTAAACCTTGATCTTCACTGACTATGCTCTAATTATTACAGATTGTACAATATACTCTTCACTGTGTTATATACGTCTTTACTCAGAATTTACGTTTCTCACCAATCGAGCAACACATGTAGATACCAGCTGAAAGATACAAAACGAATAAAGGTATTAGTCAGCATGGGAACTCTACGAGGTATGGCAAAATAATTATATATGCCGGCTGTGTTTAGATATGGAAAACCATTGTAAAGGCTGCGTGGGTATTTCGCAATGTGTGTCTTCGACAAGCGATTTTACCGTTTCAATATGGACATTAAATGAATACTGTTGAGACGTTGTTGACACAGATACACAGTACAATACTGGGCAACTCACAAGGGTGGCACTATGGAGTGTGGACACGTTGTCAGAATACCAGTCTAAGGCACAATGTTCGCCCCCCCCCCACCCCCACTTCCTTAACCTTGGAGGCCACGGCGGCAGGGCTTGTTGTGTTCTTTATAGTCTCTATAGACTGCCACTACTACTCTGGAACACGAGAAACTTCCGCGGTCGCGGCGACGGACTGGAAACGTGCCAATTCAAATTGAGAACAGGATGCTGAAGTCTGTAAAAGTCTAAACCAGTCAAATGTGACGCGTAACTCGCAAACGCTCAATACGAATAGGTACTGTACTGTCTATCATTCAAATAAATACTTTTTTCCAAACGTATATCCGGGGTTTGTATAGTCAATGAATTGCACAGGGGATTTACACTTAAAAACAACGAAGTGGACCACATCGGCTGTGTCTATCTGTATGATGTCGGTATGGATTGAATACAACAGCCGGTGAAAGGGCGACGGAATGTGGAATGTGGGACGAATTTGAAGAACAGAAAAATGTACCTCTATGATTATGAATAGTACCATATATATGCTAAATATAAAAATTGAACGTTGGTTTTTATACATTATTGTAAAGACGCGAGTCGCAGCGGCACTCAACGTCTCCATAGTCCACATATTTAGCTTCACACAAGTTCACATGTCGACAAAAAGTGCGAAACGAAGAAAAAAAATAAAAAGCAAAAGCATCCCATTTTTGAAGTTTGGCATATACTGGATTTCTGGATTTCTGGTCCTTGTGAGTCATGAGAATTAATATTGATGAGATCTCCCAATATGCTCAGTTTTTAGCCTCAGCGAGCACAATAATTGGGTGTAATAAGTCTCACCTGTTTTAAATTTAGGTCTTTCTGGAAATACGATTGGTGTAAAATCGAATTTCTCTAATTATGATATTTATGACTATTATAATTGGTGTAAAATTTGTATATTTGTTTTTATTAGTGTACACATTTTTCAAAACACAGTGAAGCGTCGATTCCACGCCTTGATGTAATCGCCCAATCAGCACACTGTTGCTTGAATCCTACTTTTGATAGGTCATGTATTGACTTTATTTCACATCTAAAAAATATATTTGTGAAATTCTGCATAATATGTTGCGACGGTTAGGGTATTGGGCATGACGTAGGTGGTGTTCTAAATAACTTTTGTTGCTGGCGAAACTGGACACTGCTGCAAGTCCGGTATAACTACGACACAGTCTATTCTCCACAACAAGCATGTATACCTAACACATATACACAAGCACAACACATGAAGCTCATAATACGCATGCGGTGGCACCATCTAACCTAACCCTAACCATAACCCTAACCATAACCGCGTCATCTACACCATTCTATTTATTTCTGATACCTATACTATTATTATAATCCCGTTAACCTATTTAACGGTTCACTATCCCAACTAAATATCTCTCCCGTTGCAAAAACGGCTTCTCGCGCGTTTTAGCCAAGATGTCCGGTGTCGTCGAGCTCGATCCCGACCCCGAAGTCCGACGTGAGCGACGCCGTATTGCGAGAGAAAACCGTAAGAGAGAGCGAGAAGCACTATCTATAGATATGAACAGTTCTTCAGTTGATAGAGGTAACACCATTTTTGTGGAAGAGCGTAATAGCAGTTAAGTCTTATTAGATGGGGTTCAGAAGCGACGCAGCGATGAGATCAGTGGACAGGATGACAAGGTGGTGGCTACGCTGGTGTCACAACACTCTGATGTGGTTGGAATGCATTTTGGTGACGAGTGTGATAAGTCGGTTCAAGTCACAGATACTGATATACTTGCGTTTAAATACACAAAGGGTAAAGTGTGCGATACGGTTACAGTGAGTACGACCATGTCAGATGCAGAGCAGAGTATTGCTGACGAAGCCAACGACGGTCGAGTACAGGAAGCTACGGTCACTACCAACAGCTACGGAGGTAGCCACACGCACTCAGACACATCAGATGACTACGAGACGGCAAGTGAGAGTATATTTGATGACGAGGTGAGTGCAGGTTCACTGGTACATGGCACACGGGACTCGACTACTACAAGCCCAGGGGCGTCTACGACTGACACAGATAATGGGGAGGCAGCGGTACACGAAAGTGCAAACGATAACAATCCCAGTGATATGTTCGTCACTCCATGTAGTGGTATATCTATTGCAGCAGACAAGGAAGGGGGTGTGCCAGAGACGACCGAGAGCATGGCTATGGAGGTGGACTCAGAGTCTCTTCTTGTGCAAGGCACAGATGCTATCGTACATACAGACCATGGCAACGTCACTAAGCCTGGGAGTGAGCCGCTCGAGGAGCCTGTCAATAGTAGTAGCCAAAGCCTGGATACACAATCGAGCTGCACTCCACAGGAGAGAAGCATAGAAGAGTCTGATATGGACGTGCCTAAGGAAATAGAATCCAATGGCACAGCGACTGCCGAACAGAGTGGCCTTGTAGTCCTGACGAGTGAAAGTTCGGTACAAACGAGTAAAATGGTACTGGTGGATTTAGCAGGCGTGCTGAAAGCTAGGCGAACAGCTCAAGGAGTGCCTGAGGATAAAGAGGTTGTGGATGAGGAGAGTATGGAGGTTAGGTCTATTCGTGACCAGTCTGTACTGGTAAGTGATCGGTGTGTGTGTGTCAATATAGTGTACTCGAGTGATATATAATCATGGCAGTTGTGCCGGGAACCTAACCTTGTATGTGAGTTAGGTCATGGTAGCACACACTAATCCCGTCCGAGTTCGTAAAAGCTGCGAAGGTGAATCCACTCAGCCACTAATACTTGAATAGCTGCCCACTTCAAGCATATAGATTCAAAGGCAGACAAGCGTGGACTGTGGGAGGGTATTGATGTCTATCAGCACATGATAAGCACTAACATTTTTCCAATGCAATTGGTTCGCCTATCAGATGATCTTTAAACAACTATTCTCACTGCTCTACTGGGTATGGTATATGTACCAAACACCTATCGAGTAAGGCCAACCCAACCTGTAATCCTGTAGTTAGAACACAGGCCATTATTTATTACTGGTCAGAGGTATTTACCGCTGGTATACACAAGCACGAGTTGCTAGTGGTCGAGCTTGGCTATAATTGACACCTAAGTACCGAACTTTCTTCTCCAGAGTTGGCCACCCGCCGCAAAGTAGCCGGACCTCAGCGCAAGACCCGCGCGACCGGAAACAACGTCGTACGCGCACGACTAAACGCAGCCGAAGCGATTGAAACACCTCTGTCAAACACTACACACATACCCATACCCACACCCACACCCACACACACAGGAACAGATCCGTCGAGTCTGAAAGAGGCTCAGACAGAGGGAGTGCCGATGGGGGGTGACAGCAGCGGTAGGTATAAGACTGTAGCTTCAGGCACCATGACTTCGTTGCCGTCTATGCCGAAGGGTGGGGTGAGCATGCTACCACAAGGCACAGAGAACCTTACGCAGCTCCTGGCCAATCAGAAGAAGCGATTGGGTCAGAAGAACGCGCGCGCGGGGTTGCTGGCGGCCGTGGGTGCTCCTAAGTTCAAGCTGCGTGCGCGATCGGTAGGTAGATGTATTGTTGGATTGATCCGATACAATATGGTTAGGATAGTATGGTGTCATATGAAGTTGAAGGAACTATATTCTGGCGAATGTATACCATAAAATTCGGTCGGAAACCCCAACAATCAGGATTGGACGACCTCCAGCATAAGCCTGATTGTTTGATAACACGCGGTTGGATGTAAATACGTGTCACCTGCTGAGGGCACTCCCAAGCTTAAGTCTTGGACGCGATCTGTAGACTGTGGTACTATATGCACATGTCCTTTAGATTATATTCCCATGTACATCAGATACACACACACGCGCGCGCGCGCACACACAC